CCCCCACCATCCGCATCCCCCTTCTCCCCAACTTCAGGTCCCCTCCCAAATCCCTGTCTTCCTTCCCTGCTCCCTCCTGGAGTCTGCACCCCCTCCTTCCTAGTCCTTGTCCCTCTCTCCTCTTTCTTGATGGCACCCCCACTTCCCTCTCTGCGTCATCCTCTCTTCAGTCTGCACCCCCGCCCCTCTCTGGCCCATGTCTCTTGCCCCTCCCCTTTTCCGAGTTCACCCCTGCAAAGTCCCCCCTCCTAAAAGTAGCTAAGGTGTGGCAGGATGGCACCTGCCGCGCGCCACTGGAGAGGGTGCTGGGGAGCGGTGTGTTAGCCTCCTAGGGCCAAATGTCCTTCCACAGCGTGGGTGACACAGAGACAAGGTGGAGCGGGCCAAGAAAGTATCCCTCAAGTCCAATGGGGCGCTAGAGGAGGCACAGAGTATCCCCCCACCCCCAACCCCAGTCACAGATACAAGGACTCCTGGCTGAGGCCGCCAGATTATAGGGTGGAATGCTTTCATGTTAACCTGGGTGGCTGTCAAGAACTTGCCATCTAGAAACTGAAGTGGGGGGCAATTTAGAGATAACCCTGGGGTTGGTTACCTACCCTTGCCCACCCGCTGGCCTACCTCTTGGGGTCCTTGTTCTATCCCCTCCCTTCTCCCAGGTCCATATCCCTTCCCTCCTTTTCGGTGCCCACATCCTTTCCTACGCCCCTTTCCCCGTCCTCTCCCGGGTCAATAGCCCCCCTCTTCCTCCTCTCCCTCTCTGGGGTCCTCATCCTACTCTCCACCGCTAGTAACCAAGCCCTTAACTCCCTTTCCCTGCCTTCTCCCCTCTGTGTTTCATATCCGCCCCTCCTCGTCTCCCTTCTCTGTGCCACTCCACCCGCAGGCCTACCTCGTCCCACTCATTCCCCACAAGCCGCGCCCCTCCCTCGCTAGACCCTGACCCCCGCCCCTAACCATACACGCAGCACCCTCCCTTCTCTGCATCTGGAAGCCCGCCCTTGGCCCTTCGCTCTGACTCGGCAGTCTCCAGAGACCCGCAGTGATGCCAGCCCCTGCTTTTTCTGGGCGTGATGCTTTCAGTCAGCGTTGTGTTGTTGAAAAGGTCAGTGGTTCCAGTCTACCGCTAACTGCTCCTCAGGAAAAGGATGGGCAGTGTCCTCCCATCAAGATGTACAGCTTCAGAAACTAGGTAGAGGGTTGCCGTGGATGGAAATCAACTTGATGGCAGCGGTTTCCTCCCTTCTTGTATATAATTTTAAACCATGAAGGCCTGTTGTTGCCTGTGGGGCAGTTCTCTGTCCTACAGTCAATGTGCGTTGAAATAAACTCAATGGCAGTGGATGTTTGGAGGTTTTTATGGGGTGGGGAGGAGAAATGAACTTGATTATTTCGTGTGTGGTTTTTTTTAATTATTTTATTTTTTTATTATTTTGTGTGTGTGTGTACTGTCAAATGGGATCTGACTGGTACAGGAGGAGATTGTCCCTCCTTCTCCAGCAGAGCATCTGGTGAATTCAAACTGCGTACCTCTGGGATTGCAGTGTAGCTTCTTGCCACTAGGCCACCAGAGCTCCTATTTTGTGTGTTTTAGATGGATAGCTTCTGGGGCCACATTCCTACCTCAAATTCTCATTGTCCTTACCTGAAAATGTAACTGTAGAGGGTGGAGACCCCTGGTTAATAAAAATAACTTCTGATCAGCTACAGGGAGAGGCTTTGGGCACTAAATATTGCAGTACTTTGGAGAGAGCAAAAGAAAATTTATCAGGATCCAGGCCTAGCTTAAAAAGCAAAGATGCGTACCATTCTGTTGACTAAGATGTGTGTCTAGGCCAGACCATGCCTGGTCTTTTCAATGGCCTCATATTCCTGAGAAAGCTGTATAGTGAAAAAGAAATACTGAAGGAGAATCAGTGGATGCAAATTCTGGTTTTGGTGATGAATGATGACTTCATATTATTTGGATCCACAATAAATACACTTTTCACCACCAGTCAGGAGAGCAGGAGACATACTGCACGGGCACAGTTTGTGTCAGGGATCTCTTCAAATTACTGAGGGGCAATTATGTTCGTTTGAGGACTAACGTGGGCCTGATTCAGACTTTGGTCTTTTCAGTCACTTGCTATGC